CCTCCAACACAGCTGTAAATCTTATTTTATTTGCTTAAAAAATTACAGTAATCATCTTAAGTAGTGCTCCAGGGTTCCTATTGCACAGAGCAATCTTAGCTACGACTTTTGAAAATCTCATACCTTAACATCGATTTACGAAGTGCCCAGGTGTTAGCCGAGGATAAAGGGGCACTTGACGGAATACTGTTTCAGATAGGATTCAAGACACTGTACAGATTGCTCGCATGAAAAGCTGATTATTTACTCCAATACCTGGTCTGACATACCCTGGTCTGACATACCCTGGTCTGGCATACCGTAGCCTGACATACCCTGGTCTGACATTCACTAGTCTGACAAACCTTGGTCTGACATACCCTGGACTGACATACCCTGGACTGACATACCCTGGGCTGACATTCCCTAGCCTGACAATCCCTAGCCTGACATTCCCTAGCCTGACATTCCCTAGCCTGACATACCCTGGTCTGACATACCCTGGACTGACATTCCCTAGCCTGACATACCCTGGACTGACATTCCCTAGCCTGACATACCCTGGTCTGACATACCCTGGTCTGACAATCCCTAGCCTGACATACCCTGGGCTGACATTCCCTAGCCTGACAATCCCTAGCCTGACATACCCTGGTCTGACATTCCCTAGCCTGACATACCCTGGTCTGACATACCCTGGACTGACATTCCCTAGCCTGACATACCCTGGTCTGACATTCCCTAGCCTGACATACCCTGGACTGACATTCCCTAGCCTGACATACCCTGGACTGACATTCCCTAGCCTGACATACCCTGGTCTGACATACCCTGGTCTGACATACCCTGGTCTGACATACCCTGGTCTGACATTCCCTAGCCTGACATACCCTGGTCTGACATTCCCTAGCCTGACATACCCTGGTCTGACATACCCTGGACTGACATTCCCTAGCCTGACATACCCTGGTCTGACATACCCTGGACTGACATTCCCTAGCCTGACATACCCTGGTCTGACATTCCCTAGCCTGACATACCCTGGGCTGACATTCCCTAGCCTGACAATCCCTAGCCTGACATACCCTGGCCTGACATTCCCTAGCCTGACATACCCTGGTCTGACATACCCTGGACTGACATTCCCTAGCCTGACATACCCTGGGCTGACATTCCCTAGCCTGACATACCCTGGTCTGACATACCCTGGGCTGACATTCCCTAGCCTGACATACCCTGGACTGACATTCCCTAGCCTGACATACCCTGGTCTGACATACCCTGGGCTGACATTCCCTAGCCTGACATACCCTGGACTGACATACCCTGGGCTGACATACCCTGGACTGACATTCCCTAGCCTGACATTCCCTAGCCTGACATTCCCTAGCCTGACATACCCTGGACTGACATACCCTGGACTGACATACCCTGGGCTGACATACCCTCCTCCATAGGAGGTCCCATCAGGTGGACTTAGTATCAGCAAAACAATATAGAGGTTTCTCAATTCTCGGTAGCAGCAAGCAAAGCATTTGGTTTCCCTATATGGTTTTCTTATCTTGAAAACGAATCTAATTGGGCAGTTCTGAAAGGAAATAATATTGTCTATCTTACATATTTTTGGGAGCACCATGATATGACAATGAAAACTATTTTTGTGTACATTTTCTTTTGGACCAAAGTGGCAAATAACTGAAGCTGTATTATTTCAGAAAGCAGATATCTGATTGGCTTAAAACAACATCCATCCTTTATGTTCAGTAGGCAGTCAAACTGTCAAACTTCGTTCAGAGTTCACCTTGAAAGGAGGTGATCTTTGTATTTTATCGGAGTAAATTCAGAATCTGATAAAATGGCGCTAAAGTCAACTGTCTTGTAACAGGGACACACATGTAATTAATTGTAATAATGTTGACAACAACACAAAGTTAGAATGTAATGACAGGGACTTCCATCCACAAATACTGCATGTAATGAATGAATAAATTACCAGCATGCTGTAAGATGACACATCTTCCTGAGGCAAGGGAGTTAACTGACTACAAAAGTCCAGTTTCCACCCTTGCCGAACTAGGCTGGATTTATTGAGATACATTTTGGCTGGACGAACAAATCTGTGCATAGTCCAATCAAAATCGCCTAACAAACTAGACATCCGGTTTCAAACAACATGGATATTAACGTGCAGATTTCGGTCGACTGCAGAACATAACTGGGCGTTGACAGATATTTTCCAAATAATTCATGTTTTTAATCATGGAGCTCAAATGAGTTGAAGCGCTTCGCGAGGTAAGATCCGTTATAATACAATACAATTTTGATTATCGATCAGATTGTCTTGACTGGGCGCCGCCATTTTGTTTGAGTGAGTGAGTTAATATTTAACGACACATCGGCAGTATTTAAGCCATATCGTGAAGGCCATTTTGTTTGAAGCAAATGCAAGTGAAATGAGAGGTGGAACCTGATTGGTCAATAGGAGGGGCACAGAAGAGACATAGTTCATAATAGCCACTGGTGGCGCTACGATCGAGCCCATCAATTCCAATGTACTTCGGCAAGGGTGGAAACTGGACTTTTATAGTCAGTTATCTCCCTTGCGTTGGGAAGACGAAGATGGCATTGATTCGTATACTCAAAGGCAAAAGTTCTTATTCATCAAACAGTTTTCTCATACCATTAAAAAAATATAAGGACCATCCGACTCTTTCATAGTACTGTAGTTAATTTGTCATGCCACGCAAAAATTACTTGTTGTAACCTGAACGAATCCAGTGGTCCTTAACTTCTTTTGAGTATTATATAATATTGATCAATATGCCATAAGCATTATTATTAATTTGCAGTAATCTATCATTTGTCCTTGAGTACAGATACAAGTACCGTATTCAACGTAATAAGCGCCCAGGGCATTCTCAAAATTTGAAACAGGGGGCTCTTATTAGAATAAAATTTTGGAGAAAAAAACCCAGAGTTGAAAGATTGTAAATTTCGTGGTTTATGCTGACAGCCTGAAATGATACAAAATAAAAGTCTGTGTGTATTAGATCTATACACGACAGATATATTTATCCAGAATTTAATTGCCCATAATTAAGGGTGCATATAACACATGCATGAGTGCATATTATACACGAATAAATAAGTCTTGTGTACATTGATCAATCGGAAGGGGTGCTAATTGGGATTGTTCACAAGCGAAAATTTAGCAAATATCACCGTGGGTGCTTATTAGAGCGGGGCGCTTATTACGTCCAATACGGTATGTATCGATACATCAACTACCATCTGCATTATTCACATGTGTAAAGTTTACCGACACAGTCTTACATACATTGTGAACAAACAAGCAGACATCCCTCAGCTTTTTTCTCTTGTGTTTTGACACTGAATGAGAATGTCAAGATTAAGTTTCATTATCAGACCTCCCTGTCAGAATGATGAGATCTGATTGGTCCATGCGATCTTGATAAAATACTGGGTAACCGGCCTTGGGGGTTAAAAAAAGTTTCATCTGGGAATAAATCTCTTATACCCCGCCACAAACAATACAGGCGGTACGTGGATTTCTGAGAGACAGAATAAATCCCTTATACCCTGCTTCAAAGCAAAAATCTGCATGCTTTTTCCGAGTCAATGGAAGTCACGCGACACAGAACAGTTAACCTCAGCTCAATCGAACAGCTGTTTTCTATCAATTTTGAATTTGTATTAATTCTTTAACAATGTCACATTAAAACATGTTCGTAAGATAAATTGGTTGGAGCCGGATCACTCAGGGCACATGGGGTTTTATGCATCCGCGTTAGGTTTTATACGACTTGCTCAGACAAGTGGCATAAAACCTAATGGGGGACGCATAAAACCCCATGTACCTCGATTGATCCTGCTTCAAATTATAATGTACATTAAACTTCATATGAAATGGGCTAAAACTGAACAGAATAAAAACATTTGATTCAAAAAAGCATTGTTTCATCATAACAACTCTTCTGACAAAATCTATGTCTTAGGCCACAATAAATTAATTATTAGATCTTAATCCAAATTGTTTTTAAATGTGAGGTAAAAAGCATTTTATTTTTTACTTTCAAAAAGCCAAAAACAAACTGTTCAAGGCATCTGCTTACAGTTACTCCCAGCAGATGTGTTTGACATGAAAACTGACTGATTTCTACGACTATATGCAGTGTTCCCTCGCTATTGTGCCCTTCAATATAGCGCTAACTCGGTTATACTGCGCAGTAGTGTATAGCTCTCAAAATTTACTTACATTTTTAATAAACTCAAGTTTTCCAATGACATGATGGAAATCTTTTTTTACACTATGAATCATAAACAACTACTATTCTAATATTTTTTCAAACTATGAAACGTGCAGCGTAGATCGTGTTAGGTAGGCCGAGCATGTACTGTTTTGGGGGTCATCTACCCCCTACTACTCTTCCTTGGTTTAAACCGCTGATCGGCTATAACGCTTATCAATTACTGTAAAACGTGAAATTAATGCGTCTCCAAAAGAATGCAACCGCTGGCCCCTAGCCAAAAATGCGACTCAATATGAATGCGACACCCCCTCCTCTCAAGCATCAGTGGATTTATATCTAAACAAAATGTCCTCTGTCAGGTTTACAGGAGAATCCTCACGTTAATCCAACCTTACATTAATCCAATCACACACCAAATAGCACCGCTTATTAGCGCTGAGTAGAGTACTTCAGCTAAAACAATACGTGCACGCTGGCTCGTGTCGGCCTTTGATGCAGTCTCAAAGACCAAAGACACCGTGTTGGGTGGCGTCTGTCTGGACTTGCAGGTGTGATCAGTGATGACATGAGTGAGTAGAACGCTTGTGTCAATTCAAAGGATGTAATTAGTGTTTGAATGGCATTGTTTATATACTTGTTGCAAGTGCTGCTCAATAAACAGTGATGTGGAATAGTTGTTTGTTTTCAGCGTATGTCTAAGTTGGTATTTCTGCTATCAAAAATGTCTTATTGTTGATATAAATGCGATGTTTAAAAATGCGAGCAAAGACCACACGCATTTTTCGCATTTAATTCATGCTCGCGTTAATTTCAAGATTTACAGTATTTGGACCCCAAAGGTAGCGTTGTAGCGAGGGATCACTGTATATAGCGTATTTCATCAAGTAGAGAAACATGGGTTAACACAGTGATTTTCTTTTTCTGTAGGTACAAAGAGTTAATGTCAGGTGGGGTGTTTCGTAATGAGGTAGGCGGGATAATTCATTTATTTATTATGGCCTTTATCGTTTTTGATTGGTCAGTCGTTTTCACACTGGTTTTGATGTCTTTGACAATCATCCTCTGCCTCGATTATATGAGGGTTGACAAGTCTATGAAATGAATGAATGACAGGCATGAAGTTGAAGTAATCACTATGTACTGATTATAATACACTTTTAAGTTGATCCAAATATTTCTGTAGGCTTGCGACGGCGTTTTTGATTTTGTCTTTATCTGGATCTGCAGGTTCCTTCTTCAGGTAGAGCCTGAATTGTTTAATGCTGATTTTAACTAACTCTGCCTTGTCAAGGTCAGTGTCGGTCTGGAAGAGCCTCTCACTGACCAGTGCAAAGTTCTTATGCCAGTAGCTTGGCACGGACTTGTGCTGGCGATGAGCTTCTCGATACAGCTGGTAACAAAACAAGTGTGATATCATGACATTTTTCAAACATTATCCATTGTATCACAAAGCAATTTCTTTTTGATTTAGGCCACCTTTCTTTCTTGTTTTACATACAACCCCCCCCCACCACCTCTCTCTCTCTCTCTCACCCCCCACCCCCAATTTTTTTTTTTTAAAAAGTAAAAACCGTTAACTGAATACGATATTCTTGTGTTTGATTAATAGTATGGTGTTCTACATCTCTTCATACTATTGTTAATCTCTTTATTGTAGTTAAACCCAAAATGACAATTACCGTATTCGACGTAATAAGTGCCCACGGCAACATTTGCTAAGATATTGGCTAGTGAACAATCCCAATTAGCACCCCTTCCGATTGATCAATGTACACAAGACTTATTTATTTGCGTATAATATGCACTCGTGTGTTATATGCACCCTTAATTATGGGCATTTAATTCTGGAAAAATATATCTGTTGTACATAAACATTTCAGACTGTCAGCATAAACCACGAAATTTATCTTTCAACTCTGTTTTTTTCACCAAAATAACATTCTAATAAGAGCCCCCTATTTCTAATTTTGAGAGCACCCTGGGCGCTTATTACGTCGAATACGGTAGTTTTGTTTTCTCCCTGTCTGTAGGCATACTGACCAAGGCATATTGACCAAGAATATCCATGAAATATGAAACTACATCACTCACTTGGAATGAGTATAACAACATGGCCGTCTTCTCTGGGCCGTCCTTGTAAGTATCCGACTTATCTAACAGGAAGAAAGCACTGGCTGTCCTGAAATAAACAATAAAACAAGAATACAGTCATCCATATCCCCACATCACAAAGCTATCTTATATTTTCTGTTATCTGTCTCATGTCTGTGGAAGTCTCAGTTCAGGGGAGCCGACGTGTCATACATTCTGTCTGTCCATAACCCAGGTGGATTCCTTGTGCTTTGTATTGTTTTGTTCTGTTCTTTGACTCGTAATAAATAGTCATGTCCGAGGTCGAGTTGTGATTTAATGTCACGTAACACCAAGTTGCTTCCACAATCCCTCCAGACAAGACCCGTGAAGATTCCGGGGTAGAATAGGTCTTCAGCTACCCAAGCTTGCCGTAAGAGGCGACTATGCTTGCCGTAAAAGGCGACTAACGGGATCGGGTGGTCAGGCTCGCTGACTTGGTTGATGCATGTCATCGATCCCAATTGCGTGGATCGATGCTCATGATATCAATCACTAGATTGTCTTGTCCAGACTTGATTATTTACAGACCGCTGTCATATAGCTGGAATATTGCTGAGTGCGGCGTTAAACAACAAACAAACCAACAAACAAGCCTCCAGACAAACTGATCTGCTTGACCTGCCTACTCACATGGCTGCCCACATTTCCCCCGTAGCGACGTGCTCCCAGGATGTCGGGGGATAGCTGCAACACAAACAGAAACTAGCACCACAATGTTCTATGGAGCCAATTCAAATTCAAAGAGTCATCGCGATCTAACTTTCAGTCAGGTGAGCTAAAAATAAGGGTATTTTGTCTTATTCACTGTGCTTATGCATTTTTCAGTCATATATACTTTTTTAATAAAAGGGAAGCACTGCTCCAACTTTGAAAGAATTGAAATATGGAACTGTGTTGTTTTTTCGCGAAATCAAAATTTGCTTATTGTGGACTATAATTTTGACTGTAATGTCCTGTGTTTGGTGTTATTCTCACTGTGAAGCGATACCTATCGGAGGATCAAAGATTGAAATATATATATTTTAATCTTTGATCCTCCGATAGGTGTCGCTTCACAATGATATACATACATGTATATATATAGGTATGAAGCCCATTTGGTTGGGTAGCTGACGCTAATTAGCATCCAGTGATTATGTCAGGGTATGAAACTCCCAAAATTTTCAGCCAGACCACAGGACTGGCTAGCTGAAATACTTGCCAGCCCTGACCAAAACCTGCCTGCCCACTATAATCATATGTTCTCAGGATAATTTAATTAAAACTTTAAATCGAATTCATTGAACATGAAGTAATGCAAGAAAAGAAATAGCAAACACTTTTTAGGTCAGATTTGTATTTAATATCCTAGAATACATCATGTAAATAATGCTTATCATCGGGAAATATTTAGAATACTTTTACATATGAAATATAACCCGACCGTCGGGCAGGGGGATTTGAAAATCTGGCAGCCCGAGTCGAAATCAACCCGTCTCGGACGGTCGGGCAGGCAGGTATTTCGAACACTGATTATGTGGGCTAATTAATACAGCGCCGTCTAGATGGTTAAGAGTTGGAGCATTGTTTCCTTTTAATATGAAGACACAAGTTATTACCTATGACATGGGATGGAATTTGTTTCATGCATGTATCACCTACCCAGAATGAGGGTGTTTCCAATCAACACCAATATTTTTTGTATTGTTTATCCATGTTGAAAGATCAAGCGTGGATCCTTTTTGTATAAACTGTGAACAGACACCATACGGCCAGAGTTCGTAGCCGCTGCGCCAAGATGGTTCATGTTCCTGCACACCGATACAGCCAAACATTGGTCGTCTGAAGGAACAGAGAACAGACATGTCTGCAATACACACATCATTCTGTCATGAATTTGGAAATTACTCCATTCTGATTGGTCATTCCGAGTCTATTAAATCACAATAAACCCCTCTGATTGAAACAGCTGGTTTGACAGCCACATCACAGGGGAAGCAAATATTCATAGAATAGTACTTTTTTCAGTCATTGTCGGTCAGCATATTTAAATAATTATATCTACAATTACAGGTTACAAAATGCACAGATGCTGTTACTACAATATTCAAAGGATGTGTGGCAATACATTTCATGCAGAAAACACCATAGAAACTTACAAAGAGATTGTATTTAAGTTTAGGAGACAACAGAGAGGTTGGAATTTGGTGCTTTTCTATATATGACTGTGACATCATATCTTTTGCGTCACAATGAGCAGTATGAGTCATAATGGTGACGTGTGGTGTAGAACGAAAGCCTTGCAAACCTGGCTTAGTTTTCTTTAGGGGTGCCCACCTCATGTTAGCTTACCAAGTTGCTGTGCTTATATGCTTTCAATGCCTGTCATATGTTTGAGTGAAGTATTACGGTGTACACGAACTGCTTCAGCATCATCTTCCCGAGGCAAGAGAGTTAACTGACTTTAAAAGTCCAGTTTCCACCCACATTTGCTTCAAACAAAACGGTGGCACCCAGTCAAGACGATCTGATCGATAATCAAGAGCTATATTGTGATAAAACGAGTCTTACATCGTGAAGTGCATCAAATCATGTGAGCACCTTGATTAAAAACATGAAAAGATTTAGAAAATATCTGTTGACAACGAGTTAGCGGTGCACATGCTTTGCAAATCCTGCAGTCGACCGAAATCTGCATGACACTTTATGAACCGGATTTCGATTTCGGTTCCGCGATTTTGATTGGACTATGCATATACTCGTTAGTCCAGCCAAAATGTAACTCCATAATACCAGCCTAGTTCGGCAAGGGTGGAAACTGGACTTTTATAGTTAGTTAACTCCCTTGCCTCGGGAAGATGGGTTCAGCATATGCAGCACCATATTTTGTTTACAGGCTGTTGTCGCAATATATACATCAGTCATCAACAGTAAGGCAACGAGGGAGTGAATGAATGTTGTTTTACACTAGTATCCTCTTAAGGACATTATTTTCTTATTCACTGAATCACAGATTTCACCTGCCAAAGTCAGAATTCGGAGAAGGGAAAATATGAAAAAGAAGACATCAGCCTCAGTACCTTTGAGATTCAACATAGGTGTGCAAAATGTCTGCGTCTTTCAGAGTGAGTGAGTGAGTTGGGTTTAACGCCGCTTTTAACAGTATTTCAGTTATATCACGGCGTGTCAGCTTAATGTGGGAGGAAAGCCTGAAGTGATGCAGGTATCTGACGTTTACCACTTCGGTGAAACCCACGAGCAGGGCCAGGTGACAAACCTAGAAACATAATCGGGGCGAACCAGGTTTCGAACCCACAATCATAGGTTTCTGGCGTACCCAAGGGACGCAACTCTGCACAGCGCATCGCGGCGCCTTAGACGACAGGGCCACCCGTGCCCCCGCGTCTTTCAGAAGAGGTGGTGAGGTGAAATGGGGAATAACATTGCTTTAGAAGTTATTGTCCTTATGCAACGACTTGCCTGCATGTATGTCTGCTTGTACTAGTCTGGGCATATGCTGATTTTATAGTGCTAGCTCACTGAGATAGCATGCTGCAGTTTAACATGGATACCCCACTCACACAGTATACTGAGTCCGAGCCGACCAGTCTTTCTTTAATCCCCATAATGCCAATTGCCAGGTAGGGTTACAAGTGGTACTATCTTTTAACATCTTTTGGTATGATGAGGCCAACGACCAACCTTCTGCTCTCCTGGCACATGCTCTAGTCACTAGCCCACTAGATGGTCTTCTTAAGAACAGTTAATTCAGGGGCGTTATTTTGGCAGTATCTGTACAAGGCTTATAATTCATTATGCACAGGATCAGCTACAACAGATGGATTCAGCAAAATACTGAGTAATCACAAAATTTTCTTGCATGTGTGAGCTGTCGGTGGAGAAGATAGCTGAACATTATTAGGCTTAAAAAAATAAAAGAATTGGTTCTCTGGCAATGGCTTTTGAAAATATGGTGCGGGCTGGCGGTGTTTGTTTTTTTATTGTTCAAACTAGTATGTAACTAAATTTTGCAGAATATTTAAAGATTTTATTTTTTTAAATGGAAATAAAAATGAAACGTGCATGGGCTTTATGAACCAAGAATTATTTTTTTAGCCTTATGATTCCATTTTTTTATAAAAAGAAGATTTGGTAGATTTGAAATTCAATAAATTCAAACAATAGTATTCCAATCTTGACCATACAAACAAGTGGATGACAGCATGAGCATTAACCGATTCAATGAGAGTACAACAGCAAACAATGAGACACACTAATCACTGGAGCAGTCAGCTTTCAAGCCAAGCATGGTGTACTGGGAGTTTCTCTGCATCATGTCCCCCCTTGGCCGTGCAAGGTAAGAAGGTAACCGAGCACCTACCTCTGTATGTTTGCGTCTAGCAGAGATCTGAAGGTGAAGGACGTTCTTCCATCCTCGACCATTCCGTCCTCCAGCTGCATGAAGTCCCCAGGGAACAGCAGCCCTGAGCTAGTGTCTCTCATCATCTCAACAGACCACTTGTACGTCAACACCTGGTGTCACACAAACAGATCAACACTGGTGTCACACAAACAAATCAACACTGTAGTCACACAGACATGTCAACACCTGGTGTCACACAAACACATCAACATCTGGTGTCACACAAACACATCAACACTGTAGTCACACAGACATGTCAACACCTGGTGTCACACAAACAGATCAACACTGGTGTCACACAAACACATCAACACTGTAGTCACACAGACATGTCAACACCTGGTGTCACACAAACACATCAACACTGTAGTCATACAGACATGTCAACACCTGGTGTCACACAGACACATCAACATCTGGTGTCACACAGACACATGGACACCTGGTGTCACACAGACACGTGAACACCTGGTGTCGCACAGACATGTTAACACCTGGTGTCACACAGACATGTTAACACCTGGTGTCACACAAACACGTCTACACCTGGTGTCACACAAACACGTCTACACCTGGTGTCACACAAACACGTCTACACCTTGTGTCACACAGACACATCAACATCTGGTGTCACACAAACAGGTCTACACCTGGTGTCACACAAACATGTCAACACTTGGTGTCACACAAACATGTTAACACCTGGTGTCACACAGACCTGTTAACATCTAGTGTCACACAAACATGTTAACACCTGGTGTCACACAAACACGTCTACACCTTGTGTCACACAGACACATCAACATCTGGTGTCACACAAACAGGTCTACACCTGGTGTCACACAAACATGTCGACACCTGGTGTCACACAAACATGTTAACACCTGGTGTCACACAGACCTGTTAACATCTAGTGTCACACAAACATGTTAACACCTGGTGTCACACAAACACGTCTACACCTTGTGTCACACAGACACATCAACACATGGTGTCACACAAACAGGTCTTCACCTGGTGTCACACAAACATGTCGACACCTGGTGTCACACAAACATGTTAACACCTGGTGTCACACAGACCTGTTAACATCTAGTGTCACACAAACATGTTAACACCTGGTGTCACACAAACACGTCAACACGTGGTGTCACACAAACATGTTAACACCTGGTGTCACACAGACATGTTAACACCTGGTGTCACACTACCTTACAAGTGGTAGACCTCACTACCTTCCTGGGAAATTGTCATACTTTTTACCTGCCTGGGAGGTAGTCATACTCACTACCTGCCTGGGAAATAGTCATATTCACTACCTGCCTTTTAAATAGTCATACTTACTACCTGCCTGGGAAACAGGCATACTCACTACCTACTTGGGAAATAGTCATATTCACTACCTGCCTGGGAAATAGTCATACTCACTACCTGCCTGGGAAATAGTCATATTCACTACCTGCCTGGGAAATAGTCATACTCACTACCTGCCTGGGAAATAGTCATACTTACTACCTGCCTGGGAAATAGTCATACTCACTACCTGCCTGGGAAATAGTCATACTCACTACCTGCCTGGGAAATAACACTCATACTCACTTCCTGCCTGGGAAATAGTCATACTCACTACCTGCCTGGGAAATAACACTCATACTCACTACTTGCCTGGGAAATAGTCATACTCACTACCTGCCTGGGAAATAACACTCATACTCACTACCTGCCTGGGAAATAGTCATACTCACTTCCTGCCTGGGAAATAGTCATACTCACTACCTGCCTGGGAAATATTCATACTCACTACCTGCCTGGGAAATAACACTCATACTCACTACCTGCCTGGGAGATAGTTATACTCACTTCTTGCCTGGGAAATAGTCATACTCACTTCCTGCCTGCTAAATAGTCATACTCACTACCCGCCTGCCTGGGAAAAAGTCATACTCACTACCTGCCTGGGAAATAGTCATACTTACTACCTGCCTGGAAAAAAGTCATACTCACTACCTTCCTGGGAAATAGTCATACTTACTACCTGCCTGGGAAATAGTCATACACACTACCTGCCTGAGAAATAGTAATACTCACTACCTGCCTGGGAAATAGTCATACTCACTACCTGCCTGGGTCCCGTTCCACAAAGCGATCGTATCTACAATCAATCTTAGAGACTTACGTCGATTATAAAATCGTCTTAGCTAAAGTTTACGCCCGTTCCACAAAGCTATCTTAGGGCGATTGTAACTTTACAAGTTCTTAAGTAGCCGATCTTAACAAAGATCGGAATCTTCAGCCATGAAGATACGAAAGTTTCCCTAAGAGTGGCCTCCCTTGGTCATGTTTAGCAGACGACGCATTGTCGAAATATGGCCGAATCGCAGACCTCTGTCGGCGTCAAACACGTTCGTCGCAGCAATTTTTCAGCAAGCGAGATCGCTGTCCTTGTTGATGAGGTGGCTGTTCACCACACGACACTGAATTCCTCATTCAGCTCTACCGTCACCAATAAGCTGAAAGGCAGCATATGGGAGGACATCGCTAACAAGTAAGTGAGCTGTGGACTGTCAGAATGTTATCTGATATAATAATAAGTCAACATACGCCATCTTTGTTGTTATGGTACAATATTTAAGATCGATTTTAGCGATCCTAAGTTGGTCCGGAGCAACTTAGCATTTTGATCTTAACTTACAACTCTCTTAGTTAAGATTGCTTTGTGGAACGGGCGGCCGATCGTAACCAAAATTTAAGATCGCGTACTTAGTGAGTTACAATCAACTTAGCCCTAAGATCGCTTTGTGGAACGGGGCCCTGGGAAATAGTCATACGCACTACCTGCCTGGGAAATAGTCTTACTCACTACTTGCCTGGGAAATTGTCATATTCACTACCTGCCTGGGAAATAGTCATACTCACTACCTGCCTGGGAAATAGTCATACTCACTACCTGCCTGGGAATAAGCACTCATACGATGACATGTATCAACCAAATCAGCGAACACGACCACCCGATCCCGTTAGTCGCCTCTTACGACAAGCATAGTCGCCTTTTACGGCAAGCATGGGTTGCTGAAGACCTATTCTACCCCGGATCTTCACGGGTTGTGTGTACTGTGAGCTTACTGTTGCAGGGTTCCCTTCATTTTTCATGTGATTTTAGTTTGTTTGCTAGATTGTTTGCTTGTTTGTTTGCTAGTTTATTTGCTAGCTTGTTTGTTTCCTTTTTTTTGCTTGTTTGTTTGCTAGTTTGTTTGCTAGTTTGTTTGCTAGTTTGTTTGCTAGTTTGTTTGCTAGCTTGTTTGTTTTCTTGTTTGTTTGCTTGTTTGTTTGCTAGTTTCTTTGCTAGTTTGTATTCTTGTTTGTTTTCTTGTTTGTTTGCTTGTTTGTTTGCTTGTTTGTTTGCTATTTTGTTTGCTAGTTTGTTTGCAAGCTTGTTTGTTTTCTTGTTTGTTTGCTAGTTTGTTTGCTTGATTGTTTGCTTGTTTGTTTGTATGTTTGCTTGTTTGTTTGCTTGTTTGTTTGCTTGTATGTTTGCTTGTTTGTTTGCTAGCTTGTTTGTTTGCTAGTTTGTTTGCTTGATTGTTTGCTTGTTTGTTTGCTTGTATGTTTGCTTCTTTGTTTGCTTGTTTGTTCACTGGTTTGTTTGCTTGTATGTTTGCTTGTATGTTTGCTTGTTTGTTTACTGGTTTGTTTGATTGTATGTTTGCTTGTTTGTTTGCTAGTTTGTTTGCTAGTTTGTTTGCTTCTTTGTTTGCTAGTTTGTTTGCTAGCTTGTTTGTTTTCTTGTTTGTTTGCTAGTTTGTTTGCTTGATTGTTTGCTAGTTTGTTTGCTAGTTTGTTTGCTTGATTGTTTGCTAGTTTGTTTGCTTGTATGTTTGCTAGTTTGTTTGCTAGTTTGCTTGCTTGTTTGTTTTCTTGTTTGTTTGCTAGTTTGTTTGCTAGTTTGTTTGCTTGTATGTTTGCTAGTTTGTTTGCTAGTTTGCTTGCTTGTTTGTTTGCTAGCTTGTTTGTTTTCTTGTTTGTTTGCTAGTTTGTTTGCTTGATTGTTTGCTTGTATGTTTGCTTGTTTGTTTGCTTGTTTGTTTACTGGTTTGTTTGCTTGTATGTTTGCTAGTTTGTTTGCTAGTTTGTTTTCTTGTTTGTTTGCTTGTTTGTTTTCTTGTTTGTTTGCTAGTTTGTTTGCTAGTTTGTTTGCTAGTTTGTTTGTTTTCTTGTTTGTTTGCTTGATTGTTTGCTTGTTTGTTTGCTTGTATGTTTGCTTGTTTGTTTGCTAGTTTGTTTACTGGTTTGTTTGCTTGTATGTTTGCTTGTTTTTTGCTAGTTTGTTTGCTTGTTTGTTTGCTAGTTTGTTTGCTAGCTTGTTTGTTTTCTTGTTTGTTTGCTTGATTGTTTGCTTGTTTGTTTGCTTGTATGTTTGCTTGTTTGTTTGCTTGTTTGTTTACTGGTTTGTTTGCTTGTATGTTTGCTTGTTTGTTTGCTAGTTTGTTTGCTTGTTTGTTTGCTAGTTTGTTTGCTAGCTTGTTTTTTTTTGTTTTTTTTTGCTAGTTTGTTTGCTTGATTGTTTGCTAGTTTGTTTGCTTGTATGTTTGCTTGTTTGTTTGCTTGTTTGTTTGCTAGCTTGTTTGTTTTCTTGTTTGTTTGCTAGTTTGTTTGCTAGTTTGTTTGCTAGTTTGTTTGCTTGATTGTTTGCTTGTTTGTTTGCTTGTTTGTTTACTGGTTTGTTTGCTTGTATGTTTGCTAGTTTGTTTGCTAGTTTGTTTTCTTGTTTGTTTGCTTGTTTGTTTTCTTGTTTGTTTGCTAGTTTGTTTGCTAGCTTGTTTGTTTTCTTGTTTGTTTGCTAGTTTGTTTGCTTGTTTGCTAGCTTGTTTGTTTTCTTGTTTGTTTGCTTGATTGTTTGCTTGTTTGTTTGCTTGTATGTTTGCTTGTTTGTTTGCTTGTTTGTTTACTGGTTTGTTTGCTTGTATGTTTGCTTGTTTGTTTGCTAGTTTGTTTGCTTGTTTGTTTGCTAGTTTGTTTGCTAGCTTGGTTTTTTTTGGTTTTTTTGCTAGTTTGTTTGCTTGATTGTTTGCTAGCTTGTTTGCTTGTATGTTTGCTTGTTTATTTACTGGTTTGTTTGCTTGTATGTTTGCTTGTTTGTTTGCTAGTTTGTTTGCTAGCTTGTTTGTTTTCTTGTTTGTTTGCTAGTTTGTTTGCTTGATTGTTTGCTAGTTTGTTTGCTTGTATGTTTGCTTGTTTGTTTGCTAGTTTGTTTGCTAGTTTGTTTACTGGTTTGTTTGCTTGTATGTTTGCTTGTTTGTTTGCTAGTTTGTTTGCTAGTTTGTTTACTGGTTTGTTTGCTTGTTTGTTTGCTTGTTTGTTTGCTAGTTTGTTTGCTAGTTTGTTTACTGGTTTGTTTGCTTGTTTGTTTGCTTGTATATTTGCTTGTTTGTTTGCTAGTGTGTTTGCTTGTTTGTATGCTTGTTTGTTTGCTTTCTGTTTAACGCCGCACTCAGCAATATTCCAACTATATCACAGCAGTCTGTAAAGATGATTTAAGTGTTATGGTGAAAATTCTTCTGAACATAAGAAAATAACATACAGGGATTAAAAGTGATCATCAGACAAACCAAAAGTGGACCAGACAAACCAGTGACTGATAGTATGAGCAAAATCCAACACAGTCAGGTCACTATGGCATGCAATCAAGCAAGGCACCAAGCTCAACCTTCTGATCCAACATCAACATGTTGCATTGTATGACCAGCAGAGGTTGCTGGGGACCACTTCATACCTGGAATCCCCACAGGGAGAGAGATAAGTATCACGCCCAAAACTTACTTCTTGATCAAACAGAATGATGTCTGGGCGGACGTTCTCACACAAGTGGAAATATCTGAAAAAAAGTCAAACATCAGAAATAATCGCCCATGAAGATCCGGACTTAACATCAATTTCACAATCATTGTCTCGGACCTATTTTGCATATTGTGTTAATCCAAACATTGCCAACAATATTAACAATCATCATACATTCACGCTGAAACGGATCTATAGTGATAAAACAACATGTATCTTGACTGTACAATAACTGCCGTACACCACGTATAGAGGCAGTATATGCACTCAGATCATCCCATGCAGCCTGGCAGTTCTTCTTCAGGCCGTACTGTTCCTCAGGCCTTTTTATATTAATTAGTTAACAGATTTTATTTCTACAATAACGTTTGGAGTGAGGTGAAATGGGGTTTAATGTCGCGTCCAAGATTATTGCACTTATATAGCGACGTGCATGTACATGTATGTGTGTGTGTTTGTGTGGCTGCTGTCTACTACTGTGTTGTACCTGAGAGTGTTGGATGGAAGATCTCCCTTCGTGAGGATGATGGAGCCATTCGGAAGGCTGTTCAGTAACGACACAGCGAAGTCTCGGACCACGTAGTTGGTGCTCTGGTCACACAGAGGGAAGTTTCTGTGCTTAACAAAGTAAAATAGTTGCACACATTATTACTCAACCACATCCCAGTGGCGGACATGTAAAGAATTCTTCCTTTTTTCACTAGAAAATGATAGTGAGTATTTCTGCTCTACGTCCACCTGATGGAGATGTGTGAGTGAGTTGGGTTTAATGCCGCTTTTAACAGTATTCCAGTTATATCACGGCGTGTCAGCTTAATGTGGGAGGAAAGCCCAAAGTGATGCAGGTCTCAAACGTTTACCACTTCGGTGAAACCCACGAGCATGGGTATGGTGCTGACAAACCTAGAAACATAATCGGGGTGAATCGGGATTCGAACCAACAATCATTGGTTTCTGGTGTGCCCAAGGGACGCAACTCTGCAGAGCGAAACGCGGCGCCTTAGACGACTGGGCCATCCGTGCCCCCTGATGGAGATGCATAGGTCAACACAGGTCATGGCTACCTAGAGGAAGGTGAAGGTCAGTGTGATACTCACAAGCTGGAAGACTGCGACAGCCACTGCGAAGATAAGATCCAGCCGCCACTTGTGGAGATCAATGAGCCAGTGCACCATCCTGGAACACAAGTTGCTGGGTAACTGTTGCTACAGCTCTCATGGAATACAGTGTGTGGGTGGTTAAGGTTTAACAATACTTCGAATAGTATTTAAAGACGTTGGATACCATTGTTCATGCGCATACCGGACGCGCATGTAACGGCGAGTATTTGTAACGCGGTTACGTCCCTTTGACTTGCCGCGAATTGTACTTGAACACATAGAAATGTAAATTTGGGCAAGAGTTACCTCCCCTGATTCATTATTTTAGGGGTATGCTGTGTTGATTGAAAATAATTTGAATATCCTCTGGTAACATGTTGTTTTTATTTTATAATTTTATTTTACAATGAATAAACATTAGAAATAAGCCAGTTTGAAAAATATCTTGATTTTGTAAAATGCTTTTTTGACTGATGAATCAATTTGTTTGGAAAATGTGCTTTTTTTAAAGTCATATGATGTGTGAAATTAAAAATGTTTTTTACTTCAATTTTCATTTTTCTGTTTTGTGTCATATCAATACTGTAATATGTCTATTTAAAAACACTCATTTCATAATCAAACTTTAAAATGACCATTTAATTGGCAAAATGATTTTATCATCTGGTGCCTCTAGATGGCGCCACTTATTCAAAAAATGCCGTGGTGACTTGGTTTTTTTATTGCGTAATTTGATTCAGGACATATTTTCCTACAAAATGATACCAAATATACCCATTTCTTGAATTTTTTGTTTTTTGTATGCAACCTCTTTCAAGATAATAATGCTCCAAATCCACACCCTAAAGCACGCTCAAAACACTACATTATTACCCTGGTCAATGGATCAGTGTGCACACGATTTTCATTCTCAGCTCCCTGGGGAGTATACAACCTAAGCCCCATCAGTGAGGTGATAAAAGGTTAACAGTGATATTTCCATCTCATCCTACCGGGTACCCATTTACTGCTGGGCGAACAGAGGCATATTCCAAACAAAGTCACTTGCCTGAGGAGGCGTGTGGGGCCGGTCCTAGAAACTCTCAGGAGTCAAGCTGCCAAACATGGTTACCACGCCAACCACTCTACGCGACTAACGTTGCTTAACTACACCTGATTTGTGACCTTATGTTGTACACAGGACCACGTTCTTTATCAAGTAATCAACACATATAATCAGAGTGAATCCGGAACCGGAATACATGACCAGCTGTGTTCATGACTGTACTTGTAGTTTCTAATGTAGTGAGGGGGCACGGGTGGCCCAGTCGTCTAAGGCGCCGCGATTCGCTGTGCAGATTTGCGTCCCTCTGGCACGCCAGAAACCTATGATTGTGGGTTCAAATCCCCGTTCGCCCCGATTATGTTTCTAGGTCAGCACCATACCCATGCTCGTGGGTTTCACCGAAGTGGTAAACGTCTGAGACCTGCATCACTTCGGGCTTTCCTCCCACATTAAGCTGACACGCCGTGGTATAACTTGAATAATGTTAAAAGCGGTGTTAAACCCAACTCACTCATTTAATGTAGTGACCACCTCCATGGTAGAGCGTTCGCCCACAGAGCGGAAGGTCCAGGGTTCGATCATACCAAAAGACGCTAAAAGATGGTACCTCTTGTTACCCTGTCTGGCGCTCGACATTAAAGGGGAAGTGTACACGCAAAAATCACTTTCTTTCTTTTTCTAAACAAAACGCAATTTTAGAATTAGTTAGTATCTGTGTTTGAAAATATACGCTCATTTTTTTTCACAGTGAAAGTAGGAAGCTCACAATAGTGTTAAAATGAAATGTCGTTATGAGGCCTTCGTTTTACGAGCGAAATAGGCCTGAGTTATCCCCCTTAGATTATGACGTAATTGGTGCCAATTCAACTGGGTCCCTGTCTATTCTCAACGCAAAAGATATCAAGGACCAGTTTGCGGTAAAACAACATGGTCTACGACACACTCCGGTGCAGTGGTGACTCAGCATAACACAATTCTGGCTGGCATCTGAGACGCTAGAATCACAAAACTGTACCTACACCACGTGAAGCGGCTCTAACAAAGCATGATGACGTCATAATGTTTATCAATTGGCACCAATGACGTCATATTGCAAGGGGCATAAGCCATGGTGTTTTTGTTATGGAAATAGAACACTTGGTAAATGTGAAAAATATAAATCGTTTTAATGCAAAAAATATGATAATTAAATATGATGTTTTTATATTTTTGTCTATGACACTTCTATGTTAACACTTTTAATGTGGAAAAAGTACAAGAAAAATTGGTTCATTTCCGTGTGAACTTGCCCTTTAAGGGGCTAAAACAAGGACTGGTTGGCTCAGTGTCAGTACAGTGAGAGGGGTATTTATGTTAAACTGCGGCATGGTATCTCAGTGTGCTAGCACTATAAATTGGCATCAGTCCGGATTAGTACAAGCAGCCACACAAACACACACAAATACATGCACATCGCTATATAAGTGCAATAATCTTGGAGGCGACGATAAACCCCATTTCACCTCACCTCTAATGTACAGTAAAATAATCATTACTGTGTTGACTACACTGTCAGTCATTAAAACATGGTCTAGTGGATAGAGCCCCTGCTCAAAGTGAGCAAGGTTGGGGGTTCAATCCCCTGGTCTTGTCATACCAATGTTAAACTGTGGAATGGTATCTCTGTGGGCCAGCACAATAAAACTAGCATTAGTCAGGGACAGTACAAACAGCCAGAAGCATGCATGCAAATCACGAGAAGAGCAATAATCTTGAAACCCCATTTCACATCACTGTACCCCGCTGTTAAAGATATTGCATAGTTGGTCGCCCAAAACATCAAATAAAAAGGTGGCAACAGACAGTTTCCATTAATTTATTTATACAGTTGTAGTCTGTTGTCAGGGATAACTCACTTGATAAAGTCGACGAAGGTGACAGCAGCAAGCACTGCCACCACGATGTCACTCTGCATCCAAAACCTCTCCACCTGCAACACAAACAAGCCATCAAGTATCAATCATAAATACAACTTTACAAGCCATTAATCCACTCAGGAAATCATCTATCTACCACAGGGCAAACTCCCCTAAATCTGATCTCACATTGAGATGTACCAAACAACAATTTATTTTTCTCAAAGGCAGAAACACTTAATCTTTCTTACAGTTTGTTTGTTTGTTTGTTTGTTGTTTAACAAAGCATTCAGCAATATCCCAGCTATTACAGGGATCTGTAAATCATTGAGTATGGACCAGACAATCTAGTGATTGAAATCATGAGCATTGATCCACCGATTGGGATGCGATGACATGCATCAACCAAGTCAGCAAGCCTTACCACAAGCATAGTTGCTTTTTACAACAAGCATGGGTTGCTCTGAAGAGTGAGTGAGTGAGTGAGTATGGTTTTACGGCCCTTGCAATATTCCAGCAATATCACGGCGGGGGACACCAGAAATGGGCTTCACACATTGTACCCATGTCGGGAATCGAACCCGGGTCCTCGGCGTGACGAGCGAACGCTTTAACCACTAGGCTACCCGACCACCCCGGGTTGCTGAAGACCTTTTCTACCCCGGATCTTAACGGGTTCTTACAGTAGGTTATTAAGTAATATCAAAGGTATATTTACCTGGAAGCGGGAGAACAATGACATAATTTAATGTGTGCATTAATATATTGTGTCACACTGAGTGAGTGAGTGAGTGAGTGAGTGAGTGAGTGAGTGAGTGAGTGAGTGAGTGTGAGTGAGTGAGTGAGTGAGTGAGTGAGTGAGTGAGTGAGTGAGTGAGTGAGTGAGTGGAGTGAGTGAGTGAGTGAGTGAGTGAGTGAGTGAGTGGAGTGAGTGAGTGAGTGGGTGGGTGGGTGGAGTGAGTGGAGTGAGTGAGTGAGTGAGTGAGTGAGTGAGACCGCCGACCATTACATCACATCAGGGGGGTCAAGAACTACTCACCACCCCCAGCAGCAGGGGGTTCTTCACATCCAGATTGGCCCGCCAACCAAAGAAGACGATGTACGTGAAGAGCATCAGGTAGAAGATGCACACACTGGAAGACTTGTACTGCTGGGACAACCTGCACAAATACAGGACTAGGCATGAGAAGAATTTTAGAAATCACAAAAATTGAAATTCAAAATGAAATCACTTGTAAATACATATGCAAAGCTTGTGGAAACACACTGCATGTTTTTTTCAGCTCAGTTTTAGAAAAAAAACAGACAGAAAGATTATGCTGATCATTTATGACTTATGTAGTTTACAGTGCTCTTGACAGGCAAAATGGGATAACGATCATTCTTCTGTTCAAATTTAGGATTTCTTAAAATAATACTTTTCCTATCTCACACTATGCATTTTCCCCTTGTTTCGATCCTGGTGTGGAAACGCCCAAGAACAAAGTTTCCAGCTTCAAAAAACATTGGACCAGAACACATCCCAGCATCACAAGGGTCGCCAGCTAACAAACGGGTCACGCAATGTAATCCTATGAACTGCGACACTAGACGATCTGATCACCTGACATAACCTGCCACATCATTCTGTTTCTTAGAGCGGACAGTGCATGACCCATTTGTTTGGGTGGTGACCATGGTGATGTTGGGATGTGTTCATGTGATTTGTTTTTAAGAAGCTGGAAACTTTGTTCATGCATGTATCCTCATAGGATCAAAAGAAGAAGGAAGAAATGCATAGTGTGAGATAAGATTCAAAATTTGGAGTTTGGGAAAGCAATGCATACTTCAGGCGATGCAAACGTTTGGGTCTCATTACCATTCTTCAGGTTTAACAATTACCGTATTCGACGTAATAAGCGCCCAGGGCGCTCTCAAATTACAAATAGGGGGCTCTTATAAGACTATTATTTTGGTGAAAAAAACAGAGTTGAAAGATAAATTTCGTGATTTATGCGGACAGACTGAAATGTTTATGTACGACAGATATATTTTTCCAGAATTTAATTGCCCATAATTAAGGGTGCATATAACACACGATTGCGTATTATACGCGAATAACTAAGTCTTGTGTACATTGATCAATCGAAATGGGTGCTAATTGGGATTGATCACTAGCTAATATGTTAGCAATTATCGCCATGGGCGCTTATTACATCGAATACGGTAATATTACTTTACAGAAAGATGAATTGTGAACAGGCATAATGCATGTATGATGCAACTTGAACAATAAACATCCAACTAGGTATTAGGTGAGGTGAAATGGGGTTTAATGTCGCGTCCAAGATTATTGCACATATACAGTGACGTGCATGCACGTGTGTGTATGTGTGTGTGTGGCTGCTTGTACTAGTCCGGACTGATGCCAATTTATAGTGCTAGCTCACTGAGATACCATGCCGCTGTTTAACATGAATACCCCACTCAGACACAGTATACTGACTCTGAGCCGACCAGTCCTTGTTTAAGCCCCTTTATGCCAAGCGCCAGACAGGGTAACAATAAGTACCATCTTTTAACATCTTTTGGCATGACTCAGCCGGGGATCGAACCCCGGACCTTCCACTCTCCGGGTAGACACTCTACCACTAGACCATGGAAGAGGTCTCCAACTAGGTATTTGGGTCGAGGAGCAATTTTAATGTAACCGCTGGCTAGGCTTAGGACCATTTTTGGATGTTACAGAGTATTATGAATGTTAGAATGTTTTTTGAATCTGGAAACATTTCTGGGCGCTTCCACATCAGGATCCAAAGAAGGAGAAATGCACAGTCTGAGATAGGATTTGTTTTAAAATTATCAATATTGGGATCACCCTTAAAATGTCCCTTGCTCGATAGGAAAATGAATCTGAAGTATCCCTACCGTTTGACAGCAGCAATGACAGAGAATATGGCCAGCAGGTACCCGACCGGTGTCAGATCTGTGTATATGTGCTCCAGGTATAACCTACAAGGGAACAAACACAGCAATAAATCAAGTGTTTCTGTGTCACTGTTTCAGGAAAGAATACAAATATTTATTCTTGATGAGGTCAATATTCGAAAACAAGGACCCTATGACCCGACCCCTGAGAAAGTCTAACCGGATCAAGGCCGAAGGAATCGGGTTCGAGGGTCCTTGTTTTCTCATATTAACGTCATTCGTTTTGTTATACCGAAATTCAATTTAAAGTTAATGAAGTCATTAGGTGAGGTGAGGTGAAATGGGGTTTAACGTCGCGTCCAAGATTATTGCACTTATATAGCGACGTGCATGTACGTGTGTGTGTTTGTGTGGCTGCTTGTACTAGTCCGGACTGATGCCGATTTATAGTGCTAGCTCACTGAGAAACCATGCCGCAGTTTAACATGAATACCCAACCCAGACACAGTATACTGACTCCAAGCCGACCAGTCCTTGTTTTAGCCCCTTAATGCCGAGCGCCAGACAGGGGTACAACAAGTACCATCTCTTAACGTCTTTTGGTATGACGCGGCCGGGGATCGAACCCCAGACCTTCTGCTCTCCAGGCGGACGCTTTACCACTAGGCCACGGAGGCTGTCTCCCAGATGGGACTCAACGCAACAAAGTACTAGAATCTGTACTTTACTAAGAAAGTGTTATCCCAAATACAAAAAGAGTGATTGCATGAGTTGGGTGTAAACAAACACTGAAATTAATAATCTTAAAGATTAGTTTAGAATATCTATATGTTAATATTTAACCATAAAGTTTGAGCATGCTTGTCACAGGAGTACACATACACCCACCTGAGACCATATAGCAACCCCTGCCCTGTGTGATCCTTTAGCTGAAAAATAAAGACAAATAATTCTTTCTTAATTTTATATTAGTTATTGGTGTAGTCATGTTACAATCATAAAAAAACATCATTGAAAATCTGTTCTCATAATATCGTGCATTTACTGTAAAGCATGTAAAGTAGATATTATTTTTAGTAATAATTAAACTATCGCTACATGTTTTAGCACCATTTACTGGCATTATGAACATCAACCCACGTTATGAGTGAGTGAGTGAGTGAGTGAGTGAGTGAGTGAGTGAGTGAGTGAGTGAGTGAGTGAGTGAGTGAGTGAGTGAGTGAGTGGAGTGAGTGAGTGAGTGAGTGAGTTGGGTTTAACGCCAGTTTTAACAGTATTCCAGTTATATCACGGCGTGTCAGCTTAATGTCGGAGGAAAGCCCGAAGTGATGCAGGTCTCAGACGTTTACCACTTCGGTGAAACCCACGAGCACGGGTATGGTGCTGACAAACCTAGAAACATAATCGGGGCGAACAGGGATTCGAACCCACAATCATAGGTTTCTGCACAGCGAATCACGGCGCCTTAGACAACTGGGCCACCCGTGCCCCCATCAGGGTATGATAACAGCAAACAAGGCACAGAACCAATAACAATAATAATAATAAACAAACCTGAAAAAAACTTGTTATGAGGCAGAAGGCCCTTCTTTTCAAGATTTGTTGTTATTATTATTAGTTACACGGCCCTGTGAACCAAATCACCAAGCCTGACCAATTACGACCAGTGGGGCTTGCCACCAAGTGTACCCACCAAGTCAAAAGTCCCGTACTCCATCCTCAGCAGGTGTGTGACGAAGCCCATGGTCGTGCGCTGATCCCCCCACGTCCACCGCGCCGCCCGGGTGTACGCAGACACGGGGAGGTACACGTAGGGGAGCAGACCCAGACACAGCGTCACAGACAACTTCAACACCATCCCTACGGTCAACGCCTGCAACAATCCATATGGATCAAATAATGCACAACACTCACTGATGTTGACCTGAAACTCTGGGATACACAAAGACGATGGGCAAAATGATACTGATGAACAGTTTTCACTTAGGAAGTATTGAATTCATCATAATGTAAATACCTAAGGTTTAAAAAATAAAAGAATTGGTTCTCAGGCAATGGCTTCTGAAAATAAAGTGCGGATGGGCAGACTTGTTTTTTTGTGTATTTTTTTCATGTACATTCAACCTGGGAAAGGGCTGCCTACATAAATGTATTCCTTGATGAAAAAAAAAATGGAATACAGTTTTGGACAACCATTGGACTACCAGTGCATAATACATGCATACAATGAACGTTGATATTATTTCACAATGTACCGACACCGGAAGATGCATGTCAACAAATTAGTACGGAAGTACACAAGTTGGTCCTATGATTACTCTATCTGGCGATAAAAGTGTTCATTGTGTATCTGGATTTCATACAATTTTGTTTAGAGTAATTTCGGCAGAATCGTGTATGATATGGTCAGCAAATCACATAAACTCACCATGAACTCGCCTTGAAATAAACATTAGAGAGATAGAGATAAAAAGTCTTCTGTCTTCCTATCAATTCCTATGAAATTTGTTTTCAGTTTGACATTAAGTATTTATAAAACAAAATCACCCATAGATCGGGGAGAAAATGTGTGAACAGCTAATTGCTATTTCAAGCTTATTTTACGAGACAAATACAAATGTAATCTTAATCTCTGTGTACGAAACATTGTCTGGCATACAGTACACAAATACCATTTAATCTGTAGATCATCATGTCTGGTGATGTTTTATCATAAATTTCATGTTTACATTGACCAAATTTGCCAACGGCAAAACAAGCATACAAACTCCTATTGCTGCCATGACCATAACACGAGATGTGCAGTAAAGCAGTGAGCATGTAAAGGGAAGTAATTGCGTGCTGTATTGGATCGCATTGTTTCTAAGTATTGAAGAATTTAACACAGAATATTTAAGGATTTTGTATAATTTTTTAAAATGGAAATAAAAACAAAACGTGTGGCAGACTTTGTGATGAAGCGGCGGTGCCTGAGAAACAAGACTATTTTTTTATAGCCTAATGAGAATCAAAATAAGTTATTTTATTCTTTTCACATGGAACATCTTATTGAAATATGTGTTGTTGTTGAAACAATATCAGACAACAGATGCCAGTCCATAATCTCACTGAAACTTTTGTCTTTGGCCTACTTGCACAAAGACATCTCAGCAATGACTATTGTAACTCCAATTGCTTAATACTGGCATACAATAGTTGTAGCACTACTTTGTGAAGTGTGCGCTGTATAAGAGAAACCATTTCCCCTGGGATTACCAGCGATTGTAAACCCTGACATGAGGTGACATACCGAGGGGGCCGTAGGCCGTAGGCCCCCGAGGTATGTCACCGAATGTGGCAATCGCTGGTAATCCCGAGGAGAAATAGTTTGTTCAACTTATAAACCGACTCATCGCATAGAGAACGTTTTTAATTAAATAACTGTACTAAAAACTCTCAAATGTATAACCTGTATCGGAGATGAAATATTGCATGAAACCAGTGACCTCAGCACGTGGGTTTCGTAACCGAGGCGAAATCTGCACGTGCGTCTCGCAACGGAGGCGAAATCTGCACGTGCGTCTCGCAACGGAGGCGAAATCTGCACGTGCATCTCGCAATGGCACGAAATCTGTACGTGCTTCTCGTAGGCTGTTCGTAGTTTTTGTTCTATCAAGGGTTTACAATGATTGTAAGCCCTCCTGCGAGTTGTTACAATCGTTGTAATACCTCCTACAAAGTGTTACCACAACTTCAAAAACTCCATATCGAGTTACACAAACAGCCAGTAGGTTTATAAGGTCAAGTAAACCCGTGCAGGTTTCACATAGAGGCTGGTCTGACCTGTGCTGTGTAGAGGATAGTGAAGGCCCAGGGCACGACACACACGATGTACAGGACACACGTGTGTTGGTTGCACAGACTCAGGCCACAGCAGAAAGAACCCAGAAGAGCAAGCTGAAACAAGGACACTGATTACATGCTGGACACGTGATGGACGGAGAGTGTACTGGTCATCAGTCACTAGGTTTGTTTGTTTGTTTGTTTGTTTATCGCTCCACTCAGCAATATTCCAGCTATATGATGGCGGTCTGAAAATAATCAAGTCTGGACGAGACAATCAAGTGATTGACATCATGAGCATTGATCTCCGCAATAAAAAACGATGATATGCATCAACCAAGTCAGCGAGCCTGACCACTCGATCCCGTCACCTCTTACGACAAGCAAAGTTGCCTTTTACGGCAAGCATGGGTTGCTGAAGACCTATTCTACCTTGGATCTTCACATGAGCAAGCCAATATGCAGAGGCAAAAAACATTTCTTGACACACTGATACAGTTAATCAAATTCATTGTTTCTTAAATGGACAGATGTTTCCGAAATGTATGGAATGACTGACAACTCAAACCCCATCAACATTTAACCCATGGAAGTCATAACAGAAACTATCCCAATTTTTTAAATCGCCCGATAAATCGAGGATGTAAACATGATATTGTGATATGTATAGTGGAAAGATCGGACCTCAATTTACAGAATACCCGTAACAACTGACACTCTTATCCATTACATACTGTAAATTGTGAAATTAATGCATTTCCAAAAGAATGCGACGAGTGGACCCTAGCCAAAAATGCGACTCAATATGAATGCGACACCCCCTCCTCTCAAGCATCAGTGGATTTCAATCTAAAGATGTCCTCAGTCAGGTTTATCCACACCTTAATCCAACCTTACATTAATCCTCACCTTAATCCAACCTTACATTAATCCAATCACACACCAAACAGCACCGCTTGTTAGCGCTGAGTAAAGTACTTCCGCAAAAACAATACATGCGCGCTGGCTCATGTCGGCCTTTGACGCAGTCGCAAAAAACAAAGGGTGGCGTCTGTCTGGACTTGCAGGTGTGATCAGTGATGACATAAGTGAGTAGAACTCTTGTCTTTACCCCAGCAGTGACAATTCACAGGACGTAATTAGTGTTTGAATGACTTTGTTTATATACTTTATATCATGTATATACAAGTGCTGGTCAATAAACAGTGGTGTGGAATACATCAGCGTATGTCTAAATTGGTATTTTTGCTATCCAGAATGTCTTATTGTTGATATAAATGCTATGTTTAAAAATGCGATCAAAGACCACACGCATTTTTCGCATTTAGTTCACGCTCGCTTTAATTTCAAGATTTACAGTACATCATGAAACTAGATGTGGAAAGTTACCGTCTGAAGGCGTGTCTTGTTGCCTTGACTCTGTTCGAACATGACAGCCAGCATCATGAGCAGTGCTACAAACAGGTTGTTGAGTGCGAACACCTCGGCCGTCACTGCCCACGTCCAGGTGAGTCGACTGAAGGAGAAGACGGTGACGGCCAGGACACCAGCTGATGACCAGCATGTCAGTCTGTCAGGGTGGTCATAATCAATACAGAAATCAATAAACAGATCAATATAATCAATATATAGATAATGGAATTAATGTACAGAAGAGTTATTCTTATTGAACTGATTGAGTGAGTGAGTGAGTGAGTGAGTGAGTGAGTGAGTGAGTGAGTGAGTGAGTGAGTGAGTGAGTGAGTGAGTGAGTGAGTGAGTGAGTGAGTGAGTGAGTGAGTGAGTGAGTGAGTGAGTGAGTGAGTGAGTGAGTATGGTTTTACGCCGCTTTTAGCACTATTCAAGCTATATCACGGTGGGGGACACCAGAAATGGGCTTCACACATTGTACCCATGTCGGGAATCGAACCCGGGTCTTCGGCGTGACGAGCGAACGCTTTAACCACTAGGCTACCCGACCGCCCCTTTGAACTGATTGACAAACATGTAGCGAGGAAAAGATTAATTATTCCAAATTACAAACTTTTTATTCAAAGCCCCAAACCAAATTGACTGCAAAGTTTATAAGAAGGAAAATCTGAAATGGGCGTTCTACACAAGTGTTTATTGTATCCAGAGAACGAGCCAGTATTTAGAAAAACAGTTGTGCAAACTAGGGCTGGGACGGGATACTCGGGTACCCGGGTCGGGTGGGTACTGAGTAGGACCCGGGTACCCACAGGACTACCCGGACCCGTGGTTAGTCACGTGATATATTGTTTAATGACAAAAAAAGTCTTGAACTCTATGGTTACACTACAAGCCGCTAATGTTCGCATTTCTTTCTGACTATGCATCCATTCCTTCTGATTTTTCATATGGTTGAATAAAGATATAACTTAATTCAGCTTCAGTGTATGAATGACCAGATTGTTCAAAACATGTATCTAAATACGTTTTGCCAGGCCTATGCTAAAAATGTTCCCAATCGGACATTTTGAGACATCTCCTGAGGCCAACAGTGGGTACCTGGGTAGGGTCGGGTAATAGTGGGGTGGGTACCCGGGTAGTAAATTTGGACTCGTCCCAGCCCTAGTGCAAACTACCCAAGTCATAAAGTCAACAAAAACATCTGATACAGGGGCAGACAACTGTAAATAAAGGGTGGGTCAAACTCGGGGTGTCATTGACTGGAAATGTTAGCATCGATATATCGACTCCAAAGTATCACAATATAGATCAACAATTAAGACCTGCAATTAATCAACTTCATACTGAAATTGAACAAGGCACATCCTAAATGTTTAAGGCCAGACACGGCACCTTAAATTAACATAATTGCTTCAATATGTCAAAATCGAGATTTGATTTTTTTCGCATATATAATACATGTACTTTGTGATGCAACATGTTTTTTTACGATATTGTGTACATTTACTGAATAAAAAACGTTATTAAAATCATAATGTGTGGTATTGTTTTTAAATATGATCGTAATCAATGTGGAAAAACCTGAACTTTCACCCATGACAACGCCCCCGCAGCTGTAACGAACCCCTTCATGTTATACATCGATAGAAAGCTGATCGTTTCCGCCATCTTTCTGTGCAAAAACATTCTAAATATAGATATTCCACGTGAGGCTATTGTCGGTTTTTCCCGCGAGTCATTCGTACGTAAATTACCATTTAAGGAGAAATATCCCGTAATGCAACATTCGGGAATATTCGTTCGATCCAAATAAAGTAAAACGTATCCCACAATGCACCATTCGGCTTAGCAACAAAACACCGGTCTTTTCCGGTAGGTATACAAAATGGCGGCTGCTTTGCGAAAAGATTGACAGGCAAACATCGTTTTTGATATTTTCTTAACTGAAAATTGTTGTATTTCGATACGGTGACATCCATTGGCCCAACCACTGCACCTCCCTCCAGGACTTGTTTCAAAGTTCTGGTAATCTAAGGATAAAAATAATCTTAACTCCCTTTAAGAGAATACTTAGGTCTTTGTACTGCTAAGATCCCATTGCACCAAGACGATTGCAACGCTCATACTTAACAACTAACTTACAACAGTTGCATGGCTAAGATCAATTTGTGGAATAAGGATCTGGTGTCATCACATACATCTAACTATACATGTTCGTAGTTATCTTCCCAAGGCAAGGGGGTTAACTGACTATAAAAGTCTAGTTTCAACCCTTGCCGAACTAGGCTGGAATTATGGAGTTATATTTTAGCTGGACTAACGAGTCTATGCATAGTCCAATTAAAATCACTTGACAAAATCAACATCAGGTTCGTAAACTGCCGTGCAGATTTTGGTTGATTGCAGGATTTGCAAAGCATGTGTACCGCCACCTTGGTGTCAACAGATATTTTTCCAAATCTTTTCATGTTTCAAATCAAGGTGCTCACATAATTTGATGCACTTTGCAAAGTAAGACCCATTTTATCACACTATAGATCTTGATTATTGATCAGGTGGACGCCGCCATTTTGTTTGAAGCAAATGCAAGTGATATGAGAGTTGGAATCTAATTGGTCAATAGGAGGGACAAAGAAGGGACGTAACTTGTAAGAGCCACTGGTGGCGCTACAATTAAGTCCAGAAACTGCGGTCTAGTTCGGCAAGGGTGGAAACTCGACTATTACAGCCAGTTAACTCCCTTGCCTTGGGAAGATGGTTCGAAGTATTTTAAATTCGGTGATGTCTGTATTATGAAGATAATGTATAAGGATCCCAACACCATTAGGATTATGTGACAAATCATCAACTCTCATGTCTAATTTCAACACTGATGACACAAAGCAACAACTGTTTCCTCACCTCTCTACGACCACAAACAGCACTCCTGCAACGACGGCTGATGTGAGGGCGGTCAGCAAGTTGATTCGCCACGCCGGATTACCAAAGGGAAAGAACTCCAGCATGCACTGCGCCAGCACCGTGAACAGGGGGTAACCTGGGGGATGTGCTACCTGTCAGGAAGAGTGAGTGAGTGAGTGAGTGAGTGGGTGGGTGAGTGAGTGAGTGAGTGAGTGAGTGAGTGAGTGAGTGAGTGAGTGAGTGAGTGAGTGAGTGAGTGAGTGACTGAGGGTGGGTGAGTGAGTGAGTGAGTGAGTGAGTGAGTGAGTGAGTGAGTGAGAGTGAGTGAGTGAGTGACTGAGGGTGGGTGGGTGAGTGAGTGAGTGAGTGAGTGAGTGAGTGAGTGAGTGAGTGATATTCCACCATTATCCTACACCATTATCATTACACTAGAAATGGGCTTTACACATTGTACGCATGTGGGGAATCGAACCCAGGCCTAGCATGACATATGAACGCCTTAACATCGAGGCTACCCCACCGCCCTGTCAGGAAGAGCAGAGGGAAGCTTTTGCAAAATGTTTGCTAAGGAAAATGGTGGAAATTCAAATTGTGACAACTCTAGAAAAGGCAAGATACTCTTAGAAGTATTGGTGAGACCATCTGTCCCAAATAAACTATGACTAGATTACATTTTGTGGATGTCCACTTTTTGTGATGTTCTAGCCTCAAGTCAAATACACTGTATATGTAATAATGAATGTATTTAAAAAACAGCAAAGGAGTGAGTGAGTCAGTATGGTTTCACGCCGCTTTTAGCAACATTCCAGCAATATCACGGCGGGGGACACCACAAAAGGGCTTCATACATTGTAACCTTGATGGGAATCGAACCCAGGTCTTTGGCGTGATGAGCGAACGCTTTAACCACTAGGCTTAGTAACCCGAATGCATCAGAAATGCAGAAAATACGCAGTAAAATAAAATCCAAGCGTATCAAATACGCAAGGAACATTACAGATACGCTACAAAAATACAACTTGTGTGTATCATCAAGATATTGTGAAGTAACCCTGCGTATTCGATTAGCAAATCAGCAACTTTTTTTGAAATTATAAACGGATATTCCGTTAACCTTGCCAAACTCCATGATGCCAGTTACATCATGATCATTTGCCATCACACTTTCTTGTGGAAGTATCGTGGTATTTTGGAGTCCGATAAAGCTCTTGAACCCACACGACACCAGTTTGCAGGGACTAGATGAATAGTGTTTTTAACTATTTAACTTAAATACCCACATGTGTAAAAACTAGTTGGTAACAGAAATTTGAATTCCCAGATTGAATTACTGATAACCAATGATTTTAAAATGCATGCGTAAAATACCCACAACACCAAAAGCATATCTGGAGCTCTGGAACGCTTTAACCACTAGGCTACCCCATGGATATGATGGACCCTATTGGGGATTCATATTTATAATGAAAAGGAATAACATTTCATACTTACACCGAATTCACTAGCAGCCACGATGAGTTCACCTGCAGAAAGTTCAATTTCATGATTTTCAAAGATACTTCTTAAACATTTCCATGTTATGTTTTGTGTTAATGCAATAAACAAAGCGAGACCTATTCTGGCTTTTAAGAATACCATTCATTTCACCATAAAACTGTTTATCAAGAAGAAATTTATTAAGTCATATATATTCTGCTCAAGTTTATTTTTCATCTCCCTGGTAGAGAAATAGGGTTTAACGTCGCGTCCAAGATTATTGCACTTATATAGCGACATGCATGCACGTGTATGTGTGGCTGCTTGTACTAGTCCGGACTGATGCTGATTTATAGTGCTAGCACACTGAGATACCATGCCGCAGTTTAACATGAATACCCCACTCAGACACAGTATACTGACTCCGAGCCGACCAATCCTTGTTTTAGCCCCTTAAAGCCGAGCGCCAGACAGAGTAACAACAAGTACCATCTTTTAACGTCTTTTGGTATGACGCGGCTGGGGATCGAACCCCGAACCTTCCGCTCTCCGGGCAGACGCTCTACCATTAGACCACGTAGGCGGTCTCTCCCTGGTAGAAGTTAATATTTTGGAGACATAAAAAGCATACTGCTAAAAACCTACATGGACATTGCTAACTGTTCACATCTAATTGAGCATCAACAAGTATTTCTTTTTTAATACTTAGATGGTGTGGGGATCAAACAATTGAAGTTGTTAGCTTGTGAGTAGTGAGTGAGTGAGTATGGTTTTAAGCCGCTTTTAGCAATATTCCAGCAATATCACTGCGGGGGACACCAGAAATGGGCTTCACACATTCTACCCATGTCGGGAATCAAACCTGGGTCTTCGGCGTGACGAGCGAACGCTTTAACCACTAGGCTACCCGACCGCCCCTAGCTTGTGAGTAAGTATGAGTGAGTGTTGTTTGATGCAGCCATTAGCAATTATTCCAGCTTTATTAAAGCGTCATGGAAATATTCAAATATGGATGAGGCAAATCAGTGACTGAAAGAATGAGCACCTATCAACATCATTGGTCCATGACACACAATCAAGTCACAGAGCATAGCGACCTGTTACCAACTTTATCAGGGGGGGCTCTATTGACAAGCATGAACACCTATCCACATCATTGGTCCATGACACACAATCAAGTCACAGAGCATAGCGACCTGTTACCAACTTTAGCAGGGAGGGCTCTATTGACAAGCATGAACACCTATCCACATCATTGGTCCATGACACACAATCAAGTCACAGAGCATAGCGACCTGTTACCAACTTTATCAGGGGGGGCTCTATTGACAAGCATGAACACCTATCCACATCATTGGTCCATGACACACAATCAAGTCACAGAGCATAGCGACCTGTTACCAACTTTAGCAGGGAGGGCTCTATTGACAAGCATGAACACCTATCCACATCATTGGTCCATGACACACAATCAAGTCACAGAGCATAGCGACCTGTTACCAACTTTAGCAGGGAGGGCTCTATTGACAAGCATGAACACCTATCCACATCATTGGTCCATGACACACAATCAAGTCACAGGGAATAGCCACCTGTTACCCACTTTAGCAGGGAGGGCTCTAATGACAAGCATGAACACCTATCCACTATTCTGATGGGGGAAAGTGGTAAGATTGCTTACCTGAGTCACCTGGTAAGGAGGGATGTAGTGTTAAAAAATGTTCAAGTTATGGCCCGGAAATGAACCTTACCCTCGCTTGAGATGAAGTCGAAATTGTTTCCATGGAAATTTAGGAAAACTTTAAGGCACCAGTTGAGCTGATGAGCAATGCAAATGCCAAGTTTATTAGAAAAATATTGTATGGTTTTCAAGTTATGGCTCGGAATAGGGTGGGAACACCAACGACTATGGGAAAACGCCCCCCCAAAATGTTTCCACTCCAATTGAGGGAGGGGGGGGGGGAAATGATGGGAGTTGTTGGGTGTGTGTGGGAGAAGACATAACAATCCATGTCATAGGGGTCCAAGACATTCAATCAGAGCATGACCTTCTATGACAATATAAAGTTTTATTCTGACCATATTTTCTGGTGGCCTTTACGTTATCCCATGATGGAGTTATCTCCCTTCATATTCCATACAATATCACTTCCAGTTTCGTTCGACACTCAAGGTTTGTTTGTATCCTTGCATTCATTTCATTCTCTGTTGTGTAGGTCTATAAATTCTATGAGATTGTGACATAATGGCGTGACGTGGTGGGGCAGTTAGTTTGGGTAACATGAGTGAGTGAGTATGGTTTTATGCCGCTTTTAGCAATAATTCAGCAATATCACGGCGGGGGACACCAGAAATGGGCTTCACACATTGTACCCATGTCGGGAATCGAACCCGGGTCTTCGGCGTGACGAGCGAACGCTTTAACCACTAGGCTACCCGACCGCCCCTAGTTTGGGTAACGAGGGAGAGAGTGATGGCGTGTTACGGAGGGCTGAACATATTGCGTCTCTGTGTGTGATATTGTCAGTTGTGTCCGTTGCTTGTACTGCAGACTTATATACGTAGAATAAATGTACAGATTGTTTCCTACAACCAGCACGAAGTAGTGTGAGCTTATTCTGAAGGGGTAAAGACAGGAGCATCTTACCTGAATCCCCCCCTGGTAAGGAGGGATGCAGTGTTTGCAGGTACACCCCAAAAACAACCACTGCAACTGTAACAGGTTTCCACAGTGAGGATAGGACATCCACTGCCACAACTGAATCTCTGCAGTTAGCCGTTTTCCTTCAATAATTAAAGAAACAGACTAGATTAGTTGTTGTCATGGTGATGAATTGTTTTCTACATAATTTGCTTTGTGAATAAATGGAAACAATAAAAAATGCATGTAGTATCATAATTGAGTGCGTGAGTATGGTTTTACGCCGCTTTTAGCAATATTCCAGCAGGGGGCACCAGAAATGGGCTTCACCCATTTTACCCATTTCGGGAATCGAACCTGGGTCTTCGGCGTGACAAGCGAACGCTTTAACCACGAGGCTACCCGACCGCCCCTGTCGTATCATAATTTGAGATGGGTCTTACTTGTATTCAAGATGGCATTAAAAATCAGTGAATGTTTGAGGTTTCTATTCTATTTTTAGTTGTCTATTCTAAGTGAACACACAATGATGACAAAACACACCAGACAGAAATGTACTTCTGATATATTACTCTGTATGAATTGTAAAGGTGTATCGATAATACATGGCAACCGTCCAGGGCCTGATGACGTCTACTACAGCAACACTAGTTGACATAGATGGATTGTACATGAGTGAGTGCGTGAGTGAGTTGGGTTTAACACCGCTTTTAACAGTATTCCAGTTATATCACAGTGTGTCAGCTTAATGTGGAAGGAAAGCCCAAAGTGTTGCAGGTCTCAGACATTTACCACTTCGGTGAAACCCACAAGCACGGGTATGGTACTGACAAACCTAGAAACATAATCAGGATGAACTGGGATTCGACCCCACAATCACAGGTTCCTGGCATGCCCAAGGGATGCAACTCTGCACAGCGAATCGCGGCGCCTTAGACGACTGGGCCACCCGTGCCCCCGGATTGTACATGATGTAAAACTACAGTTAATTGTAGATTAAAGAATAACCACTTTTATACATCATTTCATGACTGACCAGCTTAACCTTGATCCATTTATCTGACTCTCAAACTTTACATGTTTACACATCTGCTGCCTTCAAATAGGTTTGCTTTTATGCGAACAATTTCCACAAGACAAGCCCTTGCATATATTGTTACTTCGTCAATAAATCTTTCAGGGTCTCACACAAACCCATCTTCCCGAGGCAAGAGAGTTAACTGACTTTAAAAGTCCAGTTACCACCCTTGCCGAACTAAGCTGGAATTACTGGGCTCGATCATAGCGCCACCAGTGGCTATTACCAGTTATGTGCCTTCTAAGCCTACCAATCAGGTTCCACCTCTCGTATCACTTGCGTTTGCTTCACACAAAATGGTGGCGCCCAGTCAGGACGATCTGATCGATAATCAGGAAATTATATTGTGATAAATCAGGTCTTACATTGCGAAATGCATCAGATTTGGAAAATATCTGCTGACAACGAGTTTGCAGTGCACATGTTTTAGCAAATCCTGCAATAGATCGAAATCTGCACGACAGTTAACGAACTGGATTTCGATTTCGGTGCGCGATTTTGATTGGACTATGCATAGACTCGTTAGTCCAGCCAAAATGTAACTCCATAATACCAGCCTAGTTCGGCAAGGGTGGAAACTGAATTTTTATAGTCAGTTAACTCTCTTGCCTTGGGAACATGGCCTGGTTCGGCAAGGGTGGAAACTGGACTTTTATAGTCAGTTATCTCCCTTGCCTCGGGAAGATGACACAAATCTATCTTCACATAACTCACCCATGTCTGGGGTTCAGAGAGCTCATTAGCTTCAGGTCCGATGCCTCCAGCTGACTTTGAGAGGCATCCTTCTTCTTCTTCTTCATAGCCTTCGCCATCGGAAGACTTGGTCAGAAACTGTAAACGTTCAGCCTGCATATGAGAAATTATTATATCAAATAAACTTGTAGTTAACAGTGATCCCGTTTACCGGTAATTACCAGTTTTGTTACCGCTAAAATTAGGCTTGGACCGGTAATTCATGCGACTGCCAGTCCCTGTGGACTGGCAAATAAAGTACCTTGTAAAACTTCAATGTTGAACAAAACAACAGTGATACACATGTAAGCATATTTTCCGAACGAAGTCAGCTTGTCTGTTACCATCAGGGTTTCCCCATGTCGATTTATAGTGCAAGGAAATAACATTTAGCTTTGCTTCAAGGTTAAAAATATATTTGTAGTGACTTTGCCTTGAAATATTAAAAAAAAAAAAAAATTGTGACTGAACCTTGTGTGAATGATGTGTAGATCTAACTAAGTTACTTGAGAGATGACTTCATTGCATTGGTGAGGTGAAATGGTGTTTAACGTCGCATCCAAGATTATTGCACTTATATAGCGACGTGCATGCACGTGTGTGTGTGTGTGGCTGCTTGTACTAGTCCGGACTGATGCCAATTTATAGTGCTAGCTCACTGAGATACCATGCCGCAGTTTAACATGAATACCCCACTCAGACACAGTATACTGACTCCGAGCCGACCAGTCCTTGTTTTTGCTCCTTAATGCTGAGCGCCAGACAGGGTAACAACAAGTACCATCTTTTAACGTCTTTTGGTATGACGAGGACGGGGATCGAACCCTGGACCTTCCGCTCTCCGGGCGGATGCTCTACCACTAGACCACGGAGGCGGTTTCATTGCATTGAACATGATGTTGAAAGAATTATGACCAGGTAATTTTCATACGTTTTTTTATTTGTTGAAGTTGGGACTAACAAAAATAAGAGGGGACTGGTATTTTTAGAGTTACCAGTCCACTAGGACTGGCAGTTTCAAAATCCAGCGGGAACACTGAGATAAGTGAAACAAGTCATATTGCCAAGTGCGGCTTTAAACAACAACAACAAATGCTAGCCATGATGTGCTCGAGCTCTATTTCCGCAGTATGTTATTTTTCCAGAAACTATCAATGTGTTGATTTCTATTGTCTATCATCCAAAACTGTCTCCCACAGGAGATATCGCTTGGGTGAGATCAAGCGATATCTACACTGTAGATTTCGCTGAAATGAAATTGCATCACAATGCTTTGCAGACCATTGTGACGTCATTGGTTACCACGACGTCACAATCAAATGACAACACTAATGGCTCTGCTACTGAAGCTGTTAGCAGTACTTTGTACACTTAAGACACTGCTTATTACTGTCTACAAACTGAAAAGGTTGCAAGAATGATGTTAGATGATGAATAAAATCTCACCCTCGTGTCTTTTGATATCAATTATATCAACCATTGTTGATAAAAGTGGAAAAACTCCTCCTCAAGCCTCGGAGATTTTCCACTTTTATCAACTTGTGTTGATATAGTTGATATAAAAAGACGTTCGGGAGAGATTCTCTATTTACATGCGCATGAAACTTGTCACATATGATGTTCCAGCATATCTTCAAACTAGGTACGTCCACACGTCTCACAGCTTTACAAATGTACAACAAATATCTCATTCTGACAAATGATGCAATGTATCCTTACCCCCAACTTTGGAAATAGACCAATATCTTATCAAATGAGTGAGACATTTTTTCCAAACACCGTAAGTGGGTCTGTTTTGTGTTAACAAACCAATCAGATTCTTGTGCTCTCCAATTTGTTTTATGCTACATGTAGATCTATATATCTAACAGAAACTGAAACCAATCAGCAATATCTTAGTGGAATTCACAAACTATTAAAAAATGGTATATTATTGAGTTGAGTCAAACGACCCTTATTGGTAGTTGAATCACAGGACTTTTTATTGAAATTCATGCTTAGTCATGGCCCAAACCACCCTTCTGAAATATAGGACAATTTTATCATTTTAAAGGCCTAGAATGTGTGTAGCATCCAAAATTCTGAATATCATAAAAATAAAGAGTTGAATCCCCTATATAATTTTACAAGACAGGGTCGTCATGTTTATTGCTGGTAAAATAAAATTTTGCTGCAGCTATCGTCACAATTTAACATGACCATACTAATCAGAGACTGTTTAATTTATGAAATACAATAACGACAGATGAGTTAGATTAGGCCTATACGTTTCGTTGTCTAAATCAAAATAATTTTCTTTATGAAAATCAGCATCACGCATCTCGCGTTATTATTATGGGGCTATCGAGTGTCATCAGTAATCGATTTGTTATCTCACACTTTACTAGACTCGTCGTCGAGTGATAAAAGTCTACCGGCTCTCCTCTGTTCGAATAGCGGTGTTAGTGCACGGAGGCTTAGTTTGACGACATTCGAGGAACCTTGCGTTATTTATACGTGTCCCAAAAGTAAAACTTCGAGGACAAACATATTATGAAAATGACCTGTGTATTTCTCCGTTAAACTGTCAGCATGCATAGTGTTGCCATCATTGTTTACGTCCTCAACGTGTAAACTTTGCAGTTGGGCATTGAATTGGGATTACGGCCTTGACCTTCGAAAGCACCGATTTTGTTACACGGTTCCTTATTGGTGAATGAGTAAATATACGTCCTTGACCCTGCTCGTCTCACCTTCACCTCCAGTGCGAATCCGTCAATGTTATAAGAATTCCATCTAACTTGCATAGTAGGAATCATGGCAAATGTAAGTATTTAAGTCAGTTTGCAAGATATAACGTCTATAAAGAAATTTGGTCGTTCGATTTATCGGACGTATAACTGATGGTAAGCAATGGCACCCATAATGGCACCTAATTTCGTGAGGTTACGCCAAATTGTTTTCGGTCCCTAAATGCGTCATTAGAAATTACCTGAGCGAAGTGTCATTCGACAGGTGGTAATTATAGTCAGATGATTATGGCACTGGGAGTACAACCTCACAACGAAAACGTCTAGCATCATTTTCACCATATGACAGCATCTCAATAACACCATGACTATCCAATGTTTATTGGAGCTGTTAAAAAACAGCCTTTGCTAAGGGCTGTTGTAGTCGTTGGTATCGGCACAGGTACTGCAGAAATGTACCCCAGGTACTGTAATACACTCAAGTAATAATGAGAGGTCTGGGAATGAGATAACAAATACATTATCCACCAAAAAATCCCCCAAAATAACCCAATCACCCATAACAACCCAGTCACAAAAGATACATCATGAATATCATAATGTTTTGTTGTATTTTGAGTATGTTTTGCCAAAAATGTCAAGAGGATAAAATTCCTTAGACTTTCTACGCAACCTACATCGTAAGACATATCACTGATCACATTCATAATTATAGGCCTGAATGTTTTACCCAACACTATCCTGGTGTAAGCGGCTTTTGACGAGACAACGTTAAACTATGCACAGTGCAATTATAATTCAGGATATTTCATTTTCACTTCCCTGTATACAATGTCAGTCAAATTATGATTTATTATTCAAATGGTATGGAAATAGATTTTTCAGATGAATTATCGCATTCACGAAAGTGTACACTCTTCTGTCATTACAATTGAGTGTAATGTGATTTCGACAGTTGCACGTGGAGCTGTTAATCCTCATAGTATATCGATGTTCATTCAATGTCTAGAATTCATGAAGAAATAAGATTAACATATTTCAAGGTCAAACTTTCAACAAATGCAACATCATTCACTTCCTAAGACACTTGCCTTCAAATCCGTGTACTTAAATTTTCAGTCATGCAACTTTGTAGATCTATGTACTTATCAGGGTGGAATCATTGTGAGGGTACAGATAATCTTTAATGGTCCAGTTTACGACTCAATCAGTTAATATATTGTTGCACAATCTATAAGGGATGTGTCTTTATACATGAATCATGTTACATTTGTCGTTAGATCACGAGGCATGCACTTTGCTGAAGTGTGATGCAGTTTTGGATTTAGAATCTATTAGGAGTGAGTGAGTTGTGTTTAACGCTGCTTTTAACAGTATTACAGTTATATCGCGGCGTGTCAGCTTTATGTGGGAGGAAAGCCTGAAGTGATGCAGGTCTCAGACGTTTATCACTTTGGTGAAACCCACGAGCACGGGTATGGTGCTGACAAACCTAGAAACATAATCGGGGTGAACCGGGATTCAAACCCACAATCATAGGTTTCTGGCGTGTCCTCGGGACGCAACTCTGCACAGCGAATCACGGCGCCTTAGACGACTGGGCCACCCGTGCCCCCAATCTATTAGGAAAACACAATGGGACAGCCTGTTGCTCTGTGAAACAACAATTTATTATGAAGTTTATTTATAGGGACCACAAGAGGTATGGTTAACGGGGCAACTTACATTGGGATAACACATAAGAATAAGTACCAGCATAGCTTTTCCTACCCAAATCTTCTTAAGTCAAAAACTGTGAAAGTGGTAAGTCACTAACTCGTTAATTCTGAATTCATTAATGAATATGTCATGAGGCCCACATGACCAATATAGACTAATGTTCAGTCTCTGAAATGAAAATATTTTAAGATTTCTTTGTTAATTTGTCTTTTAATATGTAATAGAAAGGAACCTAGAGAATCTCTACATTTTCAGAAAATGAAGAAATCTAGACTTGCCAAAGTATTTGAAGACTTACTTGGGTGTTTTAGAATATTTAGTTTCACTTGTTTGGGTCTGTATGAGAGGGGCGGTCGGGTAGCCTAGTGGTTAAAGCGTTCGCTCGTCACGCCGAAGACCCGGGTTCGATTCCCGACATGGGTACAATGTGTGAAGCCCATTTCTGGTGTCCTCAGCTGTGATATTGCTGGAATATTGCTAAAAGCGGAGTAAAACCATACTCACTATGAACTATGAACTAGAGACTATGAAATTTATTATGTTGTCAGTTTAATCCCAGCCCAAAACCTGGGATTGTGACCTGGACATTGTGACTTCAGTAATGTCCCACAGGGAGAACAATACATGTTTGTATAGATGCATGTGTAAGCTTATCTACATGCTCAA